GGAAAATAAACAAATGAAAACTCAGCAGTCATATTAAGAAGAGGGCTAAAATGAGCACTCGAGAGACAGAGACAAGTTTGAAGCCATACTGAGCTAAGGAGAGAGTGGTGGGCCAACCACCAGAGCTACATAGCAAAACCTTACCTCAAGAAAGACAAAGGAGTAACACTGGGGTAGCAGATCACTAGACATAGCCGCAGATAAAATTAGGGAACTTGGTAATTTATCAGAGGGAATTATCCAAGACTAGCAAAGAAAAGCAAAGCAGAGAAATATGGAAGAAAAATTAAGATTTGGAGGATAGTATGAAAAACTCTGAGCCATGTCTAATATAAGTTATAGAAACATAAAATATAGAAAATTGCTTGGAGCAGGAATGAAGAAAAGTAACACTTGAATATGAGACTTTTTTTTTCTTAAAGGATTTGTGTTTTTAGAGTAAAATGAATATCAAGTTCCAAAAATAATAATAATAATAAAAGTAAAAAAACTAAAACTAAAAACCAAAATCCACTTAAATTCAAAACATTAATCCGAACACAAACTGAAAAGCGAATGTTAACATTCGCTGGACAGAACAGTCTCTGCAGGGTAGTGAGACTGAGAGCGGACCCTTCACTGCGAGCCCTAAGAGCCAAAAGGTGATTAGTCATTCTAAAGAATCACTTTCAATGTAGAATGCCATAACCAACGAAGCTGAGATTCAGGGATGGGAGAAAATTAAGATCGGAGACTCACAGGCCTCTGGTGAGAGAAACCTTTAAGAGCATTCTCAGCCAAGCGCATGCCAGTGTCTGCAGGGGCCGTGAAGCATATACCTCTTCCTGCCACATCTTCCTCCTGCGGCAGAATCACTTCCCTCCTCTGTATACGGGCAAAGCCTCCGGAGGTGGATGTGATGTGGAACAGCGGACACACCCAACAATCTACTAAAGGGTACTGTTCCGTGAGAAGGAAACACGGTGCGGGGGAGGGGCGGCGGCAGCCCAGCTCTCCCAGAGCCTTTCAGCCTGATTAATATACATGATGAATGAAAACAGTTCTAAAAAGAACTCTAAGTTTAGTAGGAGGTCTATCGCCTTAGCTGTTATTGTGCATATTCTGGCATCTCTGCATCTGGGTTTGGGGGTAACTAAGGGTTTGGGGGGGGGAAGCTAACACTTGGACTGTCAGAATGGTCTGATAGTAGGGAGAGCAAACTGTATTTTTAAGACAGCCTTAAAACGCAGTGACTTGGGATGCTTGAAAAAAAAAAAGAACTAGTTATACTGTGTAGTCAGTAGCAAAAAGAAAACTTTTATTATACAATACAGAATTTAATGTGACAAGACAATGGATATGATATTTTTTCTTGATTTATCTTTTGAATTATTTTATGTGTATGTGTGTGCCTGACTGTCTACATGTGTACCATGTTCATGTAGGTAGCTGAGGCCAGAAGAGGGCATTGGGTCCTTTTGAGCTGGAGTGGCCGTGAACTGCCCAATGTGGATGCTGGGAACTGAATTTGGGGTCCCCAGGAAGACCAGTAAGTGATCTCAATCACCGAGCCATCTCTCCAGGCCCCCGGACCTCTCTACAGGACACTAATCCCATTAATATAGGATCTGCTATCATGACCAAACCACTTCCTTAAGTGTTCACGGAAGTGAGGACTTCAACAGGATTTGGGGGAGACATAAACATTCAGGCCATAGAAACAGCTGCACATGTAGCCAAATTAAAATAGCGATCTGGATTGTAACCCTGGTTTAGGGATTTTACACAGGAGGCCCTGGGATTAGCTGTTTTCTTCTTTTCCAGCTTGAGTATCTTTTCCTTTTAAAAAATTACATGTGGGGTATATGTGCGTGTGTGTGTGTGTGTGTGTGTGTGTGTGTGTGTGAGAGAGAGAGAGAGAGAGAGAGAGAGAGCGCTCTTGGGAGTAGAGTTACTCCTACCAGATGGGTCTGGGAGTCTGAAAGTTGTCATCAGTCTCCACTGTAGTTTCTCGTGAAAGGCACTAATATGTCTTATGGAGAACTGTGAGAATGAAATGAGGTAATGCAGGGGAAACTGATTTTTTATTTTTTTTTGGGGGGCCTCAAAAATATATCTCAAACTATATCACAATGGATTCTTTCGGCACACTTGAGAAACACATGGCGTGTTGCGAACTGTACTGGAGCCAGAAAGATGGAGTAAGGAGATTATAATATTTGCTACCAGGAAGATTATATGTAAAAGCTAACTTCAAAGAAGTCTTTTAAGGCATTCTGATAGGAAGGCGTGGAGTCGGTCAGTGTAGAGAGAGAGAGAGAGAGAGAGAGAGAGAGCTGGCAGTTTTTACCAGGCAGCAAGGCCAGGAATACTTTTATGAGGAAGGCAGCCCTTAGGGTGAACAGTGAAAGATGAACAGGTGTTTTACAGGCTGAGTAAGAGGAAGAACATTCCAGAAGAGGGCACAGCGTAGAAACAAGTGGCCGGAGGGGGAAGCAAGGAGCTCAGAGTGTTTGAAGGGATTGCTGAAGTAGGCACCGGCCAAGACATTAGGACTTCACCCATTACTCTTTAGGAGGCTAACTTTGTTCACAGCAAGAGGGGTGACATATAAACAATTTGGAGGCCACCCAAGTGATGTGTGGAGCTGGAGGGACGGCTTGGGCAGGAAGGCACCTGCTGCCAAGCCTGAGTTCAGTACCCAGCACTCATACGATGGAAGGAGAGAACGACTCCACCTTATCTTCTAACCTCCACACTTGCACATGGGCCCACACACAAATAAATAAAACTATAATAAAAATCAACCTTAATCAGGAAAGTAATGGAAAGTTTCGGGAGCTTGAAACAAGAACTCCTAAGCCAGGCAGGTGCAGTGAGGGAGAGAAAGTCATGGGAGGCAAACAGTGAGAGAAAGGAGGAACCTAGGATAATTTTTTTTCTTTTCCTTTGCATGACTAAGTGAATTGTGGTGACATTTACATAAGACTGGAGAGAGAGAGAGAAAAAATCAGCTGTCAGGAAAGCACGTTGTATCAGACAGGTTGAAAATAAGGCCAGGGGGAATAGAGGTAGGGATTTCTGGCTTCTGGGCTGGAGAGACGGGCTGGTGATTAAGAGCACACAGTGTTCTCGCGGAGGACAGGGCGTTGGATCCCTACCCACCCTGGGTCTCTCAGGACTCTAAGGGGGACTGGATGGCCCTGGCCGTGATCATTTGCACTCAGGCGCACAAACCCATACGCAGAGACACACATGTCTGTGCAAATAAAATTTAAACGATTTAAAAAACATGTTTGAGGGGGAAAAAAAAAGTTCGCTTCCGGTCTGGGCGTGTAGCTAGAACCCTCCTCGCCTAGCCTAACCAGAGACCTGGGTTTGAGTGCCAGTGTCCAGCCCTAACTCAGGAGGCAAAGGCAGCGTGGTCAGAAACGATGGAAATCTGTTGGTCACCGCCACCTGACTGGTAACTAGAAGCGGGGGTGGGGGGGTGGGGGGTGGTTTAGCAGGACCTGATAGACCACCCATTCACCCCACCCCACCCTCACTCGAAGTACACGAAGGGCGGGCCACTCAGGCAGCCTGTAAGAGGCCGCTGAACACAACCTGGTCAGAAACAAAGGAGTCCCAGCAGTCAAGGGTCAGGGTTAAAGGAGAGATTCGGGGATAGAAATCTAGCCAGCCGAGTCGTCGTCGAAGGCGAGGCTTGGGGAACATCCGTGGCTTAGGCTCTCCCCACAGACCTTAGGTGACCTTTCTCAGCGTCGCTTCAGCCTCGGAAATTAGAATGACGTGGGAGGGAGCATGCAGGATCGGGTACGTGTTTTCATCTCTCGGCTTTGAAACCTGTGAACGCCTCTGTCTAGCAGACTGAGGGCCAGGAGGGGGAGTGGCGGCAGGAGTGTAAAAGTCCACGGGAGGAAATGACCCACGTAAACGCAGCCGCTGCTCGGCCGCGGCTGGATGGACGCCGTGTTCCCTGCCCGGGAAAAGAGGTCTGAGACGCAGGCTTGCAATTTTCGTTTTCCTCGGAGAGCGGCGGGAGGGCACAGCCGACTTCGGAGGTCTCCCTTCGCGAGGGGTCCCTCGCCCCTCATTTGAGAGGAGCGCCGCAGCGGACCGCAGACCGGCTGGCTCCTTAGCTGGGGGTCTTTCCACAAAACCGTTTGGCCATGGGGAGGGGGATGAACAAAAGCAGGACACCCCCCCCCCCCTCCCCAAGACGGACAACTCTTCTTGCAGACGGCCAAAGCCCAGCCAGCCGTCCCAGCCGCTCAGAGTTAAAGCGCCCCTGGAGATGGGTGCCTGGGTGGCGGCTCAGGGGTGCGAAGCGCAGCCTCGCTTCATTGAAGCCGGGGACCGTGGTGAGCAATTGGCTCCGGCCTCGGTTCCCGGAGGCGGCGGCCGGCGGGGGCTCCAGGCACCCCGAGAGACGGGGCGAGGGAGAGGGGCGCCAGGACCGGTGCCCCGGGGCGAACCACCCGGCTCCCTGGCTCGCCCCCTCTGCGCGCCGTCACCGCCCGGTGCCCGTGACCACCCGGTGGCCGCTTTCGGTTCCAGCGCCTTATAAGGCCTGGCAGGGGGGGTCACGTGCGTCCCCCGGCCGCCCGCCGGGAGGGGCGGCTGGGGGAGGGGGGGAAGGAGGAGGGCGCGAGGGGCGGGGACAAGGAGGGCGAGGGGCGGAGCCCGCGGCCGTGGGAGGCGGTGGCGGCGGCGCTGGCGGCAGCGGCGGCGGCTTGGGGAGCCGAGCGCTCGGCGGCCGCGCCGGGGAGCGGGACTCAGGCGGCTGCGGAGGCGGCGGCGGAGGAAGGGACCGGCGCGGGGGCGGGCAGAGCTCGGCGGAAGCCGGAGAGCGCGGGAGGGCCGGCGGCTGGCCCCAGGCCGGGGAGGGAAAGCCGAGGCGGCAGCGACAGGGATCGCGGCGAGGGAGGCGGCGGCGGCGGAGGCGGCGGCGGCGGGGGCCCGTGTCCGTGCGCTCCGGGCGGGCCAGCGGGCGCGGGCCGGCGCGATGGAGCCGCAGCACGTGCGCCCCGCTCCCGGAGCCCGTAGCCCGGCCTGGGAGGACCCGGTGGGTACCGCGCGCGCTCGTCCACCCCTCCCGCTCGTCCTCGCTCCTTGTTTCTCCCACCCCCACCCCCCATCCCCGTCCCCATCCCGGCCCGGGTTCCGTTCAGGAAGCGCTCCGGGATGAGGTCTCCAGCTGCTTCCCAGCCGGGGCTGCGCTTCCTCCCGGCGCCCGGGCTCCTCCTTGTGCGCCGCCCGGAGCGCCTTTGTCCTGCCGGCTGGAGCCCTTCCCCGAGGGGGCCTACTGGCGACGGTCCTTCGAGGACCGTTTCCGCGCCTCCTCATCCGCTTCCCGACTTAGCGCTTGGTGCCCGAGCGTGGAGAGGAGGCGGCGGCGGGGCTGCTCGGGTCAGCGGGTGGCGCCGGGAGCGGACGCGGCTCACCTCTTGACCGCGCCCTGGCGGGCACCTGGGCGCGCAGGTTCCCTGGGACCGGCGCCTGGGGAGGCCGGTGGCTGTCAGCAGCCAGGAGCCACGCCTCCGACTCGGGTAGCCGCGGCTGTCCCGGGCTGCCCCTGGGGTCAGGGGGCTTGGCCCGGGCTGCAGCGACGCCTGGCTAACTTCGCGTTCCCCTGGGTTTCCCAGCACGCGCCGCTCAGAGGTCGAGTCGTTTATAGGGAGCCAGGGTGTTGCTGTGTGTGAGTCGTGGTCTTCGGGTTTGTTCCCTAATTCCTTTAACTTCTTTCTTGCGTCTCACACGGAACCCTCTGGTGCCCATCCCCTCTAGGGATTCCTCCCAGGGATCCCCGTCCCACGCAGAGCCCTGGAATCTTGAGTGGGCAATGGATTTTGGCTCCGCGCGCCCTGCCTGCGTATTTGTTAGTCGTTTTTGGTTGACGTTGTGAATCTGTCTGAGGAGCCTGGTCCACGGTTTCTGGCTTCATCCGTGCTGCGGTGCTGTTCGGATGATGTTTTCCCAGGGACTTCCTGAGTCTGCTCAAGCGGGCCCTCTGCCTGTTGAAAGCGTGTAGGTCAGGTGCCAGCCTGGCTTCTTTTCTGACCCGTAGGCTTCCAGCCCCTTTGCCAGGGTGCGTTTAGCTGCCTCCTGACCTTTCAGGAGTGTCCTTCGACTTTGATCCATCTGCAGCTGCCTTGGCTTTTTGTGAATCTGCACGTTGGGTATAGCACATCTGCTCGTTTTCTGTTGCGATCATCGTCAGGGAGCAAGCTATTCCTGGTTAAAAATACCGTTCAGTCTTGACATTTAACATCGCTGGGAATTAAATCCGGTGACCTGTTTTGAACTTTACCATGTAAAAAGTCCTCTGGGACTGCGCCACTCACAGTGGGAAACCCCGAATTTTGCGCAGTGCTTGCTGGGGGCTCAGTGTCAGGGCTACTTTGCAGTCAGAAAAATCTTTCTTCTCAAACGTGTTCTTTCTTAGTCTCCAAGAAAATATTCAGCACTAGACCCCGGACTAGTGAACTTTTAAAGTAAAGCCGGCACAGAGATGTGAGAACGAGCATTGATACCAGCTAAATTGCCAAACTCTTCAAAAGTAGAGGTATTTAAGTGGCTAAGGCATTTTATTTGTTCGGATTTTTTTTTTTTTTTTTATCCAGCACCTATCATGTTCTTTGATGGTTGAACAAGCTGTTAACGCGCAGACAAGCGCTGTCCCGAAGAAGCTCGAAGCTCACAGTCTTATTAGCTAAAGAGTGAAATCTATTCCAAGTATGTGTGATAAAACGTTTCACATTAGTGATTTTATCGTGAACCTTGTGTAATGACTACAACGTTTAAGCATTTCTAGAATATGATTCCTTAAGAAAGTTGAGTTACCTACAGTACTAAAAACACGGATACAAGAAAAAGGAAGACTGCATTAGAGGAAAATCTTTAAATATATAGTGGCTTGTGGAGCAAAGGGGTTGGTGTTAATTTAATCTAAGTATGCTTTGAAGGAACACTGGGCCCATCGGAGGGAGTCGGTTTTGTTTCTCCGTGTTTGGGACAGAGTGTGGCACTCCAGGCTGTTTGGGATTTACTGGGTAGCCCAGGCTGGCCGGGGACTCCCAGGCCGCATAAAGTTCTCAAAAACAGGTTCTTTAACTTTGGTGACCTCAAGAATCTGAATGAAGCGAATTCTGGCTCCTTCAAAACAAACCTATATGACATACAGTCATGCAGCACACAGTATACTTAGAAAATGAATTGTTAGCCTATATAGTCTCTCTCTCTCTCTCTCTGTCTCTCTCTCTGTCTCTCTCTCTCTCTCTCTCTCTCTCTCACACACACACACACACACACACACGGTCACACAGTGCTCTGGCTCCCACAGGTGGAACCTCAGCTGCCATGCCTTCCCCACGGAGAGGCTTTTATCCTCAGAGCCAAAATAATTCCTTCCGCTCTTAAACACAAAATGAAACAACAGCAAAGAAAACAAACCTGTTTTCACTTGGATTCCAATTTTGAGTTCTTTAAAACCTTTTAAAAATTTAAATATAGGCAATTTAATACTTTTCCACTCGAGCTTGCAAATTTCCATTTATAAAAAGGGACTCAAGTGTTGAATAAACAGTATTACCGTATTATTATGGCATGTGACAGCATGCATGTAAGAATTTGTTTTCTCACTCCCCCTCCCCCCCCCATGGAGCCTAAACTATGATGGTATGATTTTTTTTTTTACTATTCAGACAGAAAAGCAAAGGATTCCTTGGAGATTAATGTGGCTACTTGAAAAGAAACAGTACTTGGCTAAAGTATACTCATGCCTGGCCCAAGGGAGTTTCTGGGACTTCATGACATTCTTTCTGTGAGGGAATGAAATTAAGTTATTTAGTTAAATCAGAACATTTGGACACAAATTAACTTTATTTTGCATTATTCTGGTTAAGTATTGAGCCTAAAGAAGATATTCGCTAGCACTTAAGTTTCTCAGTTTTTTTTGGAATATGGTGAAGAGTTAGTGAACATAGGCGTAACTTAAATTTCAAATAAAAAAGCTTTTGGGGAGTTGAGCGTGGTACTGGCCACCTGTAATCAAAACAATCAGGTGTGCAAGGTGGGCCTAGAGTGTGGGGACAGCATGGGCTACATATGGAGACTCTGGATCCAAAAACAAAATAAAGAAAATAAAAAATTGGAATCTGGCGGTGGTGGTGCACCTTTAATCCCAGCACTTGAGAGGCAGAGGCAGGCAGATCTCTGTGAGTTAGAGGCCAGCCTGGTCGACAGAGTGAGTTTCAGAACAGCCAAGACTGTACAGAGACACCCTGTGGAAAGTAATTGGAGCCTAGCATGTAGCTCCGCGATAGAGCTATGGGCACCTATGCAATGCCCTGGGTTTGTCCCTACCATCCCTAAAACAAACAAACAAACAAACAAACAAACAAACAAACAAAATGAATTTTGAAGTTGGAGATGAGTGGGCAGGAAGATATTCAGCAAAGCAGTCCTTATTCTTGGGTGGGAGTGGGTAACGGATAGAGAGTTAGAATTCTAGCTCATTTGAAACATAGGAATATTTACAAAATACGTCCTTCCTTCCTTTTTTTTCTTTCTTTCTTTCTTTTGTGGAGGGAAGCCTGAATATGTTTCAGTCCCAAAATTATTTTTTTTTCCCAAGTGGTTTTGTACAAGGTAGCATTACCAGCCAACATTATACCAGTTAACAGCCCAGAACCAACAGACTCATGGAAAGGGAAGGGTTTTGAAGCAAAAAGGCCAAAATATAAGCAAGAGGTTTTATAGTTGTACTTTATGCCAGGGTGATGAGAGGTTTCTACATTGTGTGCAAGGGTGTCAGTACGTTCCCGTAATTGACAGAGCCGTTGCTCTTGGAATTGGTTTTCACCCAGATAGCAACTAAGACAATTTCGACAGGGTAAACATTTTGAATGTTAAATTCTGAACAGGTAATAGACAGTATATTGTGGAAACAGTTCCTCACTGCAGTCACAGCGGCCTCCCAGGCCGTGCTTGTGCAGTCTGCTGAGTCCTTGGGTTCTAGAAGTACCGATCAGCAAACACGAGTCCTGGAAGATGGTACGACATGCAACCCTTATGTTACATCATGATTGAATGTAAAGCCCTGGAACGTGTGATTAGACACTTTACGTGACTAATGATCCTGTTGGTCGTTAGTGGCTGATTAATTCAGAGTATCTCTCTAGATGGTAATACAGTGTTCACAAAAGTTGAAATCAGAGCAGTGTTTGGCTTTGGCCAATCTTTCGGCACCTTTTTTTTCCCCCTTAATGGAGTATGGCACCTACTAAGTAGGAAATCAAACGGTGGGCAGCTTCACTTATTTCCATTTAATCCTGACTGTGACATCTATGGAGTGTAAGGCGAAGGGTTTTTGTTACTGTTGTTCTGTTGGAGACAAGATCTCTATAGCTATATAGCCCTGGTGCAGTCCATGTACTTCATCCTCCTATATGCAAACTTTAAACAGAATTGGTGATATGTTCCACATGAGATTTTTTTTTTTTTTTTGAAATAGGGTTTAGCCTGTTGAGACTATATAGCCCAGGCTGGCCTCAGACTTCTGGAGACTGGCCTGTTTCTGCCTCCAGAGTGCTGGGATTAAAGATATTAACCACCATGGCTCATCAACAAAGTTCTCAAATGAGAGTGATAAAAAGGAATTCACAAGCAACACTGAAGAAATTATTTGATAATCTAAAATACTAAGGAAAATGTCAAGGAACTTTTATAAATCAAATGAGACAATATGCTACATATTTGAAATTTCAGTAACCATTTTGAGAAATAGAGGCTGATGCAGGAGACTGCCATAAACTCAAAAGTCAGATTGGGCTATGCAGTATGCTCCAAGACAGCCTGAGGTGTGCTATGGTGCTATCTCAAAACAAAACAAAACAAAACAAACAAAAACAAAGACAAAAAACAAACCAAAAACAAAGAAAAGGTGACGTGGATTTCAGTTAGATTAAATATACGTTTTGGACATTTATCACCAAGAGTAGCAGTTCATGGGTCAGATAGTATTTTAAATTTTGGATTCCTTGAAAGTGTCTCAGAAGAGACGGGTTTCCACCAGGGTTTTTCCTGAGCTGCCTTTTGTGGGAAATGAGGCAGCATCCCTTCCTTTGCCCACACAGTAGTCTCATCCTGGGTTTCCTCTACAGCTGCTGATGTGGTAGAGCCGAGGCCAGTTTTATAGCTGGAGCAGGCTTAGACTGGCTTTGCTTTCGAAGTCACAAGCCTTAGAAACTTGCTACCGAATTCTGTGTAGAGCAGAGCTGGCAGCAAGGCCAAGTTTTTCCAAGTCACAAATACCTGCACTTTGAGGAATTGCCGACCTCTTGGATGTGAAGCTGCGCAGTTTATTTAAGCAATCAGCATCCTTTTAGAGTAAGAAATGTAATCCTTCTTTTTCACAAAACAGGCGTGGGTGATAGTCCAATCACCCTTGCCTGGATTCTGGAAAATGTTGCTGTGTAAAACCTGAAAGTTTAATGTGCGGATTGAAGTACAGCCAGACTGACCTTTAGCTATATACAGTGTGGTGAAGATGACATTAGAATCATAATCACAATCACATTTTTTTTTTAAACTTTGGTCCCAGCTTGTGCCCTCAGTGTCTTCTTTACATTAAAAGGGAAGTATGAACTATGTTCTTTTTTAACGGCCCTTTACTAGGGGTCTTTGTGCTGCCAGATCATTAGACTTGTCTGTGACCAAGTAGCCAGACCAGGATAAAGGTCACTAAAAAGGCATTATTTTGTTTTGGGCTGTGACGGTTGGGCCTTCTGTACCCCAGGCACGAACTCTAGTAATGACCTTATTCCCAGCCAAGGCTGTTGTTTAATGTTATTTTTCTCTTAAAACTTGCCCAGCAGTATTATTGTAAGTACAGAATTTCATATTATAGGACCATAAGTACTCTTGAAGTCCATTTCACCCTTCTCTCCTTTCTTTCCTAGAGGAAATAGCTGAGGCATGAGAGGTTGTCTTTGTGTTTAAGTAACACGGCTTATACTGAAGGACTGAAACGCATTTCACATTTTTAGTGTAGTTAAAAAATGCCTTAGAGCCGGCAGCACTAATGCTGAGCGGAATCATTGTTGGGCTTAAGTTTGCACCTGGGAAAGAAACAAAACCCAGATTCTTAGTTTGCAGGAGCTCTCAATGTCACGGCCATCTGACAGAATAGGAGAGGAACCTGAAGGGCAAAGGCTAAAAAGATTGCTCCACCAAAGGAGAGCCCCCAGAATCCTCTAGGGACTTGTTACTTAATTGGAAACAAACAAACAAACAAACAAACAAACAAAAAAAAGGCAAGCTAACAGCAGTGTGAAGTTCTCATTGGTTGACAGTAGACTTGTTCTTTAGTATCCTTTCCCTCAGCGGCCCCCCCCCCCCCCACACACACACCTGAATAGGATTGTTGAGGTTGAGCTTGTACTCAGTGCAGCGAGGTTGCTCTTCCTAGCCACAGCGCTGTGTTTAAGCAGTTGACTAGGGACGCCTCCAGAGTCAAGGTTACAAACAGCCTGTGGATTCTTGGCTCAGTCCGGACTGGGGAGTGACGCTTTCTCGTGCATACGTGTATATGTATATGTATATTTCTCTCTGCCTGGTTCTTCGTTCGTGTGGCCGCGTGTGTTCTTTCCAGGCATTACGGATGAGCGCTTCAGCTTCGTCTCGAGCTGCTTGTCCTCTCTTGTTTCTGCGCTCTCTCCACGCCCTTCCCAGCTTCCTGTTAGCCAAAGGGAATCGCTCTTTCTGAACGAAAAGTTCTCAGAGCGGAGCTGAACCTCCCGGAAAATGCTCTTCTCTTCCGTGTGCGCCGGATGGGGGTGGGCCCGAAACTGAACACCACGGTAGAGGAGGCCGAAAGGACCCGAACTCTTTGGGCAGAGGTGGGAGAGGTAAGGGCCCGGCAGTGGTGCCGAGGGTCCTGAGACCCAGTTCATCTCCCGGACAGAAGGAACTTACTTAGCTGGAATGGTGCCACAAAGCCCGAGTATGTGGAGAGACTTGGGGTCCAGGGGTGCACCCCCAGGACGTAGGAGGAAGCTCCATATTCCCCCCTTTCCGCAGGAGCCTTCCCCTCTGCTGCTTAGAACTAGGGGAGGAGCATCGCCGCTGCCTGACCTGCTGTGGCACGCCCCTGCCCATCTCTGCCCTCTATTCCTTCCGAGCCCTCCAGACCCTAGAAGGAGCGAGAGGGAGGTTGTCCGAGCCTTAACGCGACCTCCATCCTTTCATTCCGGTGTTGGTCCTATCTTGGGGCGCAACCCCAGATCATCCCAAGGCTGGGTGAGCAAGCGTGAAGCAAACAGAGGAACCAGGTGGTCTCGGCAGGGGCGGCGTGGTGTCCCGGGTCCCCTGCGCTGCGCGGTGGGGACCGCGGAAGATGGCGCCAGCTAGGCGCTGGGCTCGGGCGCTCGGGCAGAGCCGAGCCATTGACCACAGCCCCTCGGGGCGCTGCTGTGTCCCCGCAGGAATCGGAGAGGATGGCCGGGGCTGGCAGCCAGCACCACCCACAGGGAGGAGCAGCCCCCGGGGCCAGCGCGGTTTCCCCCACCGCTGCGGGACCCGGAGAGGATTCGTCTGACAGTGAAGCGGAGCAGGAGGGACCCCAGAAGCTGATCCGCAAAGTGTCCACCTCTGGACAGATCCGGACCAAGGTGAGGCTGGGCCCGGGGCCTGCGGGAGGGCCGTGGGTGGAGGGAGCACTAGGGGAGATCCCGGGAACCCGTATCCGGAGGAGGGGCGCGAGGGCGGGGCTTCGGCCCTGGGGCTGGACTAGTATCAGGGATTCCTGCCGTAGGGGTTGGAGACATCCAGGGTGTGTTCCAGAACTCTCTCGGTTAGTAGTTAGAGAAGCGGCTTGGAGCATGGGAGAAAGTTGAAGCCCGGTGGCGAGTTCCCACTTCGGGAGCTTAGAGGAGTGTGCTTTCTCGCCTCGCCCGCGCCGCGCGCGCGCACGCAGGAAGACCTGCAGGAGCTGTGTTGTGCCCGCCGCCTTGCGTCTTCACCCGCAGCAGGCTGCTGGCTCCTCTCCGTCAGCTTCTCTGGTGGGCTGTGCGAACAGATTGGCTAGGCTTCTGCGTTGCAGGTTCCCACAAAGTGCAGAGCTTAGCGGTTTATCACAAGTTACCCCTTCAGGGTATTTGCAGGGTGTGCTGGTGCTTTCGGTGAAAAAGTTAAAGGAAGAATTTGAGTAGGGAACCGATTAAATCAGTGGATGATCCCGTTAATGATGTACTTGCGGAAGGTTAATTCATTGTACAGTTATTTTCCTGGAAATTAGCGTCCTAAGGCTTATGAGAGTCTTACTTGGAGGCAGTTTGGATTAATGTTTGTTTTAGCGCTGGCTAACTTCTAAAATTAAGTAGACGCACAAATGACAGTGGCTGAAAAGATATAGTTACTAGAGTCAACAGCTGTCTCAGCGGTTTACTCTCAGCATCTTGGAACTACTTTTAACGGAGATGGATTTGGAGTTTTATAACATTTGTTACAATTTGGGAATTAGGGTATTTTTTTTTTTTAAGATTAAAGCTAACCAGTATAGAGTCTTTACTATCAGTGCTTTTAACATCTGAAATCTTAATCTAAAAAAAAAAACAAAACAAAACAACAACAACCTGTAAAACAGAGTTAAAGAGAAAAATGGCAGGTTAAAAAAAAATGAAACAGCATTGTCCTTTAAATGCAGTGGTCAAAATTCCATGCATATTAATATCAAGATTGGCTAGTAAATTTATGCTATTTGAAAAAAAATTGGATGGTTGTAAGTTGAATTGAGGAAATAAAGTTGAACAAATTTGTTAGGAAGTACTAAAATTAAGTACTAAAATAAAGTACTACTAAAATTTGTAGGTTTAATGAACATGAGGTCATAGCTAATATATTGTTTAGTTATGGAATAAAGCATGTTTACCGAAGACTAAAATAAATGTAAAACATTCATTTTTGTTTTCTGTTTGACTTTCTGATAAAGGTTTGCCACAAGTATGGCTAATTGTCAAGCCTTGGAATACTGCTTCTGATATTCATATCAGAATATCAGAAAGTCTGTATTTTATACTTACTCATATGTTAGTATTCATGTCAAATGTTTTAAAATACAAGCATCTGAGGCCAGAGAATTAAGTTGCCAAGGCTAGGGGGCCTCAGCCTCACACCTTACCTCCTGCAGTCCAGACTGTAACACATGCTGTAAATTTCATCGCTGTGGCTCTTATCACATGCACCTCAGAAGAAGGTGAGGTCAGCACGGAGTTAATACAGGTACAACTACTAAAGGTAGCAAACAACAGGTTCCTTTTTGGGAATTATTCAGTAAGAGGAGAAGCACCCTCAGAAAAATGTAGCTATTTCCTCCTCTTTTTCACAGGGGTGTAAGACGGGAGAAGTGGGAGGAGAGAGAGGCTCATGGCCCAGATCTAGCTCAAAGCTTAGTTGCTTTTGAGACAACACTGACTGTTCTGGCTTATAAATCCTGAAGGTGCATTGAAACCCACCAAATTCTGCATTCACACACTTACACAATACATGCTTACACATAGATGTGTAAATATGCTCCTGATTGAGGATGTATACAGATAGTCTGTAGGTGAATGCGTTGTTCGTGGAGGTTGAAACTATTTCAGGGCACCCAGTTACCCATGTGTCTTTGTCACTTTCCTGTTCTGTTCTCGTATAGAAGCTTGTTTCGGCTTTCAGTTGCCGATCCGGTATGAGATCGTTTTGGTGGGGTGGGACAGCAGCAGAAGCAGGAGGCTGTCATGTGTCAAACTGGAAGCAGGAAGCAGAGAGAGCGAACCAGGAGTGGTGTGAAGCTTTAAACTCCCACAACCGTGCCCCCAGTGACTACTTCCTCCAGACAGGAACCTCCTAAGCTGCCTCAGACAATGCCACCAACCCAGGACCAAGTAGAGGATGATGTTTGAAAAACGTTCAGACACCATGTTTGAAAAAGCCAGGTGTTGGGGAGGTGGACATGGGGGGATCCTTGGGGGTCACTGGCCAAGTCAGTCAAATCCAATCAAATTTCAGGTTCAGGGAACAACCCTGTCTCAAAAACTAAAGAGTAAAGCAATCAAAGAAGACATGTGACCTTGACCTCTGCATACATGCATACATACACATAAATCTTTCCAGTATAATTGCATAATTAAGTGCTTGTCATGTGAATATTATCACTGCGACACAGCTACGTAGTTCCCATTAAGATCCTCATGATCCTGAAGCTGAGTGGCAGGCAGTGTATAGTGAAGAACAGCAGTTTGGGCTGGGGAAGTAGCTCATTGGGAGAGTGCCTGCTAGCATGTATAAAGCCCTGGGTGGAAGGAAGTTGGCTGTTTTAGGACAGCACACTATATTCTCAGAATTTTTTTATTTTTAGAGTGAATATGCCAACTTTTTATGTAAAGAATAAGACCTCTGTGTGTGTGAGAGAGAGAGAAAGAGAAAGAGACAGAGACAGACAGAAAAAGAGGTGCTGAAGATGGAACCCAGAGCCCCACACATGCTAGGCATCTGCCTGTCCCAGCCCAAGGGAAATAAGACTGCCATTTGGAGGCAAATGCTGATTAACAGTGACCTCCTATGTCTTAGCGCCCTCTCTCCTCACCTCTCCTTGATGAATGTGTGGTTTTTGTTCCCTTTTCCCTTTCCATTTTTCTTCATGCTTTCTTAGTACATCTTTTGTATGTATGTATGTATGTATGTATGTATGTATGTATGTATGTATGTATGTATTTATTTATTTACTACTTTCTTTCTCTATTTTTCACTTGTATCTTTTCTCCTCTTAGCTGAGTAGAACTTCAGGTAGTTACATCTCCGTTCCCATGTGCTAAACAGATAATTTTGTATCCAGCTTAATTTCCCAAAGGCAAAACACCCTGCAGGAGTGAAAGCGATGTTGGTGTGAAAAAGCCAAGCTGGAGCAGTTGCTGTTTCTTCTCTGGTTTCTTTTTGGTTTTTCCAGGACAGGATTTCTTTTGTGTAGCTTGGCTGTCCTGGACTCGCTTTGTACACCAGGCTGGCCTGGAACTCACTGCGATCCGCCTGCCTCTGCCTCCCTGAGTGCCTGGGATTACAGGTGTGTGCCACCACACCCGGCTCTTTACCCTTTACTCCTGTGGGGTGGAATCCCCATTGAGGCATGGTGCTGTACAGCCTTTCATAGGCGTTTCATTGACAACGAGGCAGCCTAAAACAACAGTTTGGAACGCGAAGGAGGCTGTGTGCCTTTTGCTGGCATGTGAGTGCAGTGATCTTTCATTCTGCAGCAGTGGCAGAGGTTGCTGCAACGCTCAGCTTGCAGATGGCATGGTCAGCTCTCACACACATTGGCGCCAACATGGGAGACCTGTCTCAGTCACTTTCAGCCATTGAATTATCTTGGCCAAGGTCAGGAAGCTTTGTATGTCAAAGATATCTCCTGATTAGGTAACCGAGCTCTCATTTGTTTGACATTGATATATATTCATATATTAATTCTAAATGGCTATAAGTTATTTTCTAAATTAGGCAAAAAATGTACCTAAACACAGAATACACCTCATGAGTATATTGACCCTAATTTATCATGAAAGTTTGTCATAAACAAACTTCTGTAGCATTATGATGAGGCAATATGGAGTTTTGCTTTTGTTCCTTTATGAAATACAGCTTTATGCAATTAAAGCATTATTGTCTGATGTCGTGATGCACACCTTTGATCCTAGCACTTGAGGGCAGGTGGATCTCTGTGAGTCTGAAGCCAGCCCACAGCCTGGTCTATGTTGCAAGTTCCTGGCCAGCCAGGGCTACATAGTCAGACCCTGTCTCAAAAACAAAGAACACATGGGGGACCTCCCCCTTCTCGGAGAAGGAGAGGGAAAATGGGGGCAGGGGGTAGGGTGTGTGAGGGGGAGAATGGGAGGGGGGGGCTGTGAGCAGGATGTAAAGTGAATAAACAAGTAAATTAAAACCAACCAACCAAAACCACTCACTACCAAAAATCATCCTTACTGTCTTAACCATGATTTCTAGGTGGAGGAGACCCGGAGGCACTTGCTCACTGATTTTCAGATTGTAAGTGGCAGTGACTTGGGAGGTCATGGTGGTTACTGTGCACTGTTTAAAACAGAGACAACAAGTCAGATAATATCATTAAACGTCCCCGGCCTTCGTTCTGTGTGGAAACATTAGACTCGAGTAAAGATCCCAATGAGATGCAACAAGAGAAGCAAGGATGAAGTGCTGTAGACAGGCCGGGAGCAAAGAGGAGCGTCTGCTTCTGACCAGTTCATCTGGGCAGCACTCTGTCAACTTTTTCCCAAGCGCAGAGCGCTAAAGATTTTAAGTTTTGGGCTATTTAGGATTCCCTCCGAATTCCTCAGCTCTGAGAATGATGGGCCAGGGAAGAGGGGTGGAGTGATGTTGGTCAGAGGGTGCAAAATTTCACCGGGACTGATTGGGATCAGGTGTGGGCTGTCGGTAGAGTAAGTTCTGTTGTAACTATCATGGTGATCATAGTTAATAACAATTAGATATGTGAAATTTGCGAGAGTTTAAATGTTCTGACAACAAAAATGCAGAGCTAATTATAAGTAGTCTCATTTAATGATTTCACACTATTGTGTATATGAAAAAATTTTGTGTTTTTTTTTCTTTTTCTTTTTTCTTT